TGATAATGATGATGGTAGTGATGATAATGATGATAGAAATGATGATGAAGGTGGTGATAATAATGATGATAGAAATGAGGGTGATGGTGATGATGATAGTGATGATGATCATGAGGATCATGATGATGGGATATTTATCATGATACTGATGATGATGTTCGTGGTGATGATGATGACGATGACGAGAAGTTTGACGAGAAGAAATTATGATTAATGACGCTGACGAGTGGTAAGGTGGTCTGATTGATGGTCCAGGCCGGCTCTCCTTAAAATTCACACTCACATTTTATTCATTCATTCACTTCATACTCCCTCATTCGATCTATCATTCATTCATTCATTCATTCATTAATTAATTAATTCATTAATTCATTCATTCATTCATTTATTCATTCATTCATTCATTTATTCATTCATTCATTCATTTATTCATTCATTTGTTTCATTCATTCACTCATGCATGCGGTCGTGTTTATTCATTCATTCTCTGCATTCGTTTATGCATTTTGATTATTATTTTATTTTATCTATCATTCATTCTCCTCATTAATTATTATTCATTCGTGAATAAATAAAAGAACGTACGGGTGAATGAATGAAGCAGGAATAAGAATGCTTGATTGACTTATCTAATGAACAATCAATTGAAGAAAGCTCGCTTGAATAGAAAGAAAATTGCTTTGAATAATTGAAAAAATAGCAACTGAATGAATGAATGGATGAATGAATGAATGAACTAGGGGATTGTAGCTGTCTGTTTGTTTTACAAAAATGGTTAACGGTCTATTGTAAAAAATAGTAAATGAATGATGGATGAATGAATGAATGAATGAATGAATGAATGAATGAATGAATGAATGAATGAATGAATGAATGAGTTAGTGAATGAGCCAATAGACGAACGAGCGAACGAATAATGCATTAAGTGAATGGATGAATGGATGATTGATGGATTGAGTGAGTGAATGTCAAGTCATCAATCACATGTACAAATTAATGGCACTTCAACACGCTCTTCATAATAGATATGTTGCCGGTTACATATAATGAAGATGATGAAGACGATGATGATAACTATGATAATAATGATACTGATAAAAATAGTGATACTAGCTATGACTAAAAAAGTAATGAGAGATTGAAAATTTTTGTTCATGTTATGGTGGTTATGATAGTGATAACATATTCTCAATCATCATCATCATAACCATCATCATCATAACCATCATCAGCATCATAACCACCATCATCATCATAACCACCATCATCATCATTACGATCATCTTCGGTACAGACATCATCTGCTCTACTACATAACCACATAACCACCATTAATTTTATCTTCCCCACTTTCAACATCTCTCTCTTTCTCTCTCTCTCTCTCTCTCTCTTTCATTCACATTCTCATCAACCTTTTCGCTTCTCATCCCATTTGTAACATCGACGTCTCAAGGCCAAAGTTCAAACTTCCAGGTCATCTGAGGGTCAAATGTTTTGTCTTGCTCGGGCTTAGGGGGCGAGACTAATTAAGACTTTGCAAGCGTTTGATGCGTATGTTATGTACATTATTATCTTTGCGCTCCATTGTGTGTGTGTGTGTGTGCGTGAGTGTGTGGGTTTGTGTTTGTTTGTTTGTGTACGTGAGCGTGTGGATGTGTGTGTGCGTGTGCCTTAAGAAAGAAAAAGTTTCTCATTAGGGAGTGGATTTGAGTTTACTGTATTTTATTTATATAGAGATATGTATTCTATATCTCGATTTTCCTTTGGTTCTATTCTTCGTATAATCTTTCAAATACACACACACAGCATTCACTTTTACGCGTCACACACACACACACAAACAAACACACACCGACACATTCATAGACATCGCAAATACAAAAAATACGAAAAAGACTGACTTATTGCTATCTCTCTCTCTCTTCCCATTGGGCTCAACAGTCGTACACATAATATACACACATACACACACACACACACAAACGCACACACATATACACACATACACACACACACACAAACGCACACACATATACACACATACACACCAAAAAAAAACGGAAGATACCTTCGTTGGTATATCATTTCTGTCGTTTTATTGGAGATATTATTGCCTGATGTATGCAACTGCCCTCCAGGTATGTATGTTTGTGTGTGTGTGTGTTTGTATCTTTATATATGTATGTATGTATGTGTGTGTATGTATGTGTTAATGTCTGTATGTATTCATGCAATTGTATATACTTATACACATAACATCAACAGCAACAACAACACAAACAACAATGACGTCACGAAAAACACCAACAACTACGACATTCCAGACGAATTTAAAAGTGCACTGAGGTAATAAATAGGATTCCTAATTAAGACGTCCATCCGATCGAATATCGCTTCGGCCACCGAAGCGGAGTGTGTTGTACATTAAAATATAACTCTCCCTTTCTATTTTTATCTCTCTTATCTCTTTCTCTCTCTCTCTTTCTCATTCATTCGTATGTAAAATAATTCATCCGTTTATTCATTCATTCATTCATTCATTCATTCATTCATTCATTCATTCATTCATTTATTCATTCATCTTTCTATTCATTCTCATTCAACGCAAAGACCATGAGAAGGAGAGAGGAAAAGAGAGAGAAAGAAGGAGGTAGTAAGTAAGTAAGAAAGAAAGAAAGAAAGAAAGAAAGAGAGAGAGATTGAGAGAGAGAGAGAGAAAGAGAAAGAGATAAAAAAGAAAAAAGAGAAAAAGGTAAAGTTCGAATTGGTTTGTTTGACGTAGCGACTAATTTGATTTTAATTAAGCAATTAATTAAATCTAAGATGGTGATGGTGGTGTTTTTGCTCCTGTTATAAAAAATGAAGGAAGAGAGAATTTAGAAGGATGTGTATCTATTTATGTGTGTGTGTGTGTATGTGTCTGAGTGTGTGTGTGTGTGTGTTTATATGCGAGAATATGTATGTGCATCTATTAGTTTTTGTGTTTATTTGTGTGTTTGGTTTGTGCGTTTATATATATATATATATATACATGATCCATTCATTCATTCATTCGTTTATTCATTCATTCATTCATTCATTCAATCCGTTTTAATTAACCAATAAACGATGAAATAGCGAGAAAATGATCTTCTTGAATGTTAATTTTTCAGAAGATTAAATAAAAAACTCAATTTTCATTTAACGAAGCAGACGATCATACATACCACGTGATGTGATGTCATAAAGGCGTCACATGACGTCACAAATGTCATTTAGTCATCCGATTGCTTGTCATC